TTTTGAATACGAGGAGATACACGTACACGTACGCAAAAGTTACCTCGTGGTGGAAAGAGAGACGCGTGCCAATTTATTACAATCGCGTACGTGCCTTTTGTTTATACTTGGCAGTACTTTGAAAAACACGTAACACGAGCAATGGGAAGAAATACGACGGAAAACGAGTAAATTATAAAACGTGCAAGCGCGTCTGATGGAACGTGTTGTTTCTTTCGTGGATGGGTTGCTCACGGGCTATCGCGGCATGCTTTTCACAGCGTACGTCGACAATGTCGAATCGTCGGAAGAAGTATCGACAACAAACGCAATCTCACGCATTTTCACCGTCTTCTCTTTCATCTCGGATCGTTGTCTTGACTTTTTTTTATTTTACTCGTTGTTGTTATTCGCGTTATCGTCGTCCTTGTACGTCGGCAAAGTACACGCGCGAAATTTAATGCAACGGGACGTGCACGGATACACGCGGAAGCTTCGGATCGATAGCGCGACGCTCGGTGTTTTGACAAAGCGGTCGATCAACTCGCGCGCGCTTCGGGTCAACTGGAAGGCGTGTGTGTGTGTGTGTGTGTGTGCCGAGAAGGAGAGACGATCGCGTTAAACAAGCGTCGACGCAGAGACCGCGCGAGTCGTACCTGCCATCGATTCGCAGATTCCTAACGGGCGCAATCTCTCTATTTTCCATTCTCTCTTTCCCTTGCCTCCGCCCTTTTATTTCTCTCTTATCGTTTTGCCAAAAAAAAGTGGACGGGACGTTTGGCGTCAGCGATAATTATCGTTCGTTCGTTCGTTCGTTCGGTTCGACTTGGAAAAATCGACGCGTCTCGATTACACGAAAAAAGCGGAAAAGCCGAAAAGTAGAGCAATGGAAAGTAAAATGTGGGGCAAAGGTGACCGAGGTGAACGGCACTAGCTCGCAACGCGTAATAGGAAACGGTCGCGCATCTGCGCAGATGTTGCAGAGATTTACGAGGTTCGATAATTCGTCAGCAGGCAACGCAACGTGGCAACGTTTCGTTCGATGAAACTTGCTCGACGTTGCGAGGTCGACGCATCGGTCGGGTCGACATCCTCGGGTCGGGACGAAACTTGATTCGCGCGAACTTTATCCTCTCGATGCTCTCGAAAGAGAAAGAATTCGATACACGCACGACGTCGAATCAGGAGTAATTCCATCGTTCGTTTCGTCGTTTTCCCCCGTTCCATTCTCTCGCACGAAGCGTAAGCGTAAGTGGATACTCTTATTCTCGATCGATTCGTCGAGGAGGAGGTTTTCCACTCGACTCGAATCGAATCGAATCGAATCGTTGAATCGAGACTCTTTCGTCGTTTTTCTCGACGTACGACGGTGACGCGTCGCTATCAAGTTTGGTAAAAAGTCGTTGATCGTACATGCGATGCCAATCTCTCTCTCTCTCTCTCT